GGTTGTCTTAATGATGTTTTGCCTGAACCATAATGTGATCACCTTGCATTGTATCCTATTCCTGATGTTCTGGTTTGCTGTCTCAGTTAGTTAAATATTATTTTGTTTGATATACATCGTTGCTGTAGAATATATCACACATATTTCCTTTTTCTCTGCAGCAAAAATGGTCAACACACCAAGGAAGAGCACTCCAAGGTCTAAGAGGGCCAAAATAGTTGGTGCCTCTTCCTCTGCACCTCCTCCTAACCATGACCCGAGGTTTAGGTTCTTGGAACATGAAGAATATTTTAAAACAAATATCCTGAGAAGGAAGCTGGTGCAGGACCGTAACTTTGCGATTCAAAACGGCACTTATCCCCAATTTGAGGAGGAGATTCAGAGAAGAGGATGGGACCTTTTTACAACCTGTGCTGGAAATGGGTGGAAGGAAATCACCCAAGAGTTCTTCGCCAACGCAATGAGGATTAAAAGCGACACTCTCCCTCCCAGACATAGCATGGTGAGGGGAAAACTGATCAACTTCACCCCCTCCAACATCCAAAGAGTTCTGAATATCCCAGCTGTGCATAAGTCAGCTGGCCAACTGGACTTTACAACCTTTAGCATCCAAGAGGATAAGGACTACAAGCCTATCCTTGAAACTGTCTGCAAAGAAGGTAAGAATTGGGAGTTTGACTGCAAGATGCAACCCAAGAACTTGACCACCAAGCACCTCATCCCTGTAGCAAAAATCTGGAGTGTCTTCATCCTCAGTTCTTTCATGTCGGTCCTCCACCCCTCTACCTTAGCAGTGAAGCGAGCAGAGCTTATTTATGCCATTTTGACAAGAATGCCCATCCATGTGGGTAAGGTAATCAGCAGTGCCATTATGGACATCTTAAGCAGAAGCAGAGATTCCATGGGTTTCCCATCCATCATCACCATGCTGTGCCAAGACGCTAGGGTAGATTTTGGGGACTACCTACAGAAGATTAGAGCAGCTCCTCCTATTACTACTGCAATGGTGAAGGACTTCTTCAAACTCAGAAGGAATGCTGACCCAGGACTATCTCTACCAGCTGAGTACAGGAGGGATACTCCAATGAGGATGAGGGAGCAGATGAAGCAGCTTGCTCTGAGGCAGGATTCCATTTATGCTGGGTAGAAGGCCCTTATGACTCTGATAGACACTATGCTGCTGAATATAGGGAAAAAGCTGGGGATGACTTCCACACAGCTTTATGAAGCTCCTACTTTCAGTGCCCCTTACCTGCGAGCAGCAGTCCAGAGTGACCTTCCACCCTTTCCTCCACCTGCCCTTACCAGAGCTGAAGCCGATGACAACAGCTCCAGTACCTCAAATGACGACCTCCCAGCAGCCGCCGAAGATGATGATGACTCTTCTTTTTCCAGCTCCAATGAAGATGCTATCTAGTCTTAGTTTTTTTTTTCTTTTTCACTGCACTCACTTTTCACTTACTTTCTGCTATTTCCCTGTATTTACTGCTAACCATCAATTCCTTGTAAATATCGTACATTTCCGTTTCCACCTTTACTGCTTTATTTTCTTATTGTTCCTCTTAATCTGAACATCTCCAACATTTTCGTTTATATATATATATATATATTCTATTTTCTGGCTTTATATTTGCTCCCTATACTGAATTCTATGTATATTTATGCAGAAAGTGCCCTCAATTCCATCAAGAGGAGCATGAACTTGACCCCTGAGTTGTGATTCTACTTTCTATGAAAGGGGGGTGATCTCTTTACCTCTGTTTTCATTGTTCTTAGTCTAATTTTCTTGCACAGTGTTAAATGAAAATACAAAAATATTTTCCTTATCTCTCCTTTAATATAGTCCAGTTTTGTAATTCCATAGTTATATTTTGATTGCACTTCCCATTCAACTCATGATCATCCTCTGTTTTTGAATATTTTCGTTCCTACCATGCTGCGCATATCTTCTTATAAGGTGAATTGTAATCACATATTGCTAAGTAATTATCACCTTTCACCATGGTAGAGAATTGAGCCTTTAAATTCCTTTCTGTGTGCAATTTACATGGATATTTGCATTCATCTTCAAGAACTTGCCCTGCTTCTTAATTGAATATGCATTGTGCAATCTTCAATCTAGTTGATTGAGGCCATCTTTGCACGCACCCACCAACCCTTCAACACCTTTACACCTAACTTCCCTTGTTCTATATTCCTTCTTTTGCCAAACTTAATCTGCAAAAACATCTTCCTTTCCTTAATAGAGGTATTTCTTTTGAGTTGCATCAAGAGTGAATGCAATAAATTAAGTTTGGGGTGCTGATTATGATTGTAGTTGCTTGAGGACAAGCAAGCTCTCAAGTTTGGGGTGGTGAGGATTTTACATGTCAAAAAAAAAAAATTTTTTTTGCTTGAATTTGAAGAAGAGAATGATTGTCAAAGTCTAAAAAAAATGATGATGAAAGGAAAAGAAAAAGAAAAATATAGCAAGTCATTTTGATAGAAAAAGAATTCTCCACATAAGGCAAAGTAAATGAAAAATATGGTGAAGGAGTGCTTGAATATCATTTGCTGCATCATTTTATGCATTCCACTCTTAGTTATTGTACTCACTCACTTAAAGGAATTCCCTCCTCTTAAAAACCCACTTGAACTTTTGACCTTCCTTGATCAACATTTTGACCTAACTTAATACATTTGTGACCAACAAAGTCCTCTTGATAGGTGGTTCCTTGTATCTAGGCAAAGGAGATTGAGAACATGGGCAAGCATATGGTAGGGTGAGGCAAACTGCATGAACTGAGGGAAAACACTTAGCCTAAAATATGGATGACTGAAGAGTGAAACACCATCTTTTGAGTTAGATAATTTCTTTGCATTGTGTGGATTACATGAAACCTTGCTAGATTTTTGGCTCAGTTTAGTGGGACTTTGCTTGGAATTAATTGAATTAGGCATGATTTCTTTGTTGAATGAATCCATGATTGTGGAAACATTGGAAGTGTCAATTAGAGTTTAATTTTGGAATGAAAATTTTGAAAGAAAATTTTTGGATAAATCCAACCCTCCTACAATTTGATGATGCGAGATTTTGCTACTCATTATGCACAAAGATTGTCGTTAATCCTCATCAAATATGCAAAGAAATGTATGCAATACTAGGGTGTTGTCCTAGGTTGTCTTCAAGGAATTTTTGGTTGGGAACATACATCGAACAAGTGTAAACATATATTTTAAAGCAAGTAAATTAGGGGGAGGTTTGTCAATTTCCAGATTTTAGTCAAGAGCAAAATGTAAACTAGTAAAATTCAATCAATTAAGAAGAGTAATCCTAGTCAATCAATGAGTTCTATCACTATTCTTCCAAATGATTCAATAATCCCCTATTTTTCCCTTGAATTAAGTTAATCTAACAAGCGAAAATTAACTTTAGTATCCCAATTAAAATTAAGCATCTTAATGGGCTCCAATCTCTATCCCTAAGATTAAGCAATCTCAAAGATTAATCAAAATTAAGCAATTTTGGATTAGAATTTTGTTTGGGTAATTTAGGGTTCATTAAGCAATGTTCCCCTCATGCAAATTTCATTTCATTCAGAGATTGGGGTTAATAAATCCAAGGAAATAAAGAGTAATATTTCCATTAAACCCAAGAATTTCAAGAACCATGTGAGTTGACTAAGAATTACAAGAGAATTCATCAGCCCTCCATATGGATGGGCTTCACAAATGAAAGAAGGAAATGCAGAAACGTAAGCAACATTAATGTAAAATCAATGAGAATCCAAAGGGAAATTGGAAATTAAAACCTATAATGGACCCCTGGCTGTCACCCAAAGATCCTAAACTCTGCAAAATGCTCCAAAAGTGGCAAAAGAATCTAAGGAAATGTAAAAGCTCCCTACCCTAATTTCTCAAATTCTATTTATAGTGCAGAAATTTTCGCTCAAAGTGACAACTATGGTTTCATATTGATAACGCGCAGCGTTCCAAAGTGATTACGCACATTCCATAGTGATAACGCGCAAGGTTTGTGATTTTGGCCTCTCTGGAGTTATCACTTTGGCTTCATAGTGATAATGCGCAACGCCCCCAAAGTGATTACTCTCGCTCCATAGTGTTTACGCGCAGGTCCTGTGTTTTTGCCCTCTCTGGAGTTGTCACTTTGGCATCAGAGTGATAACTTTGGCTGCTCCAGAGTGTCTACTATGGTTCCATAGTAGCTACGCACAAGATCTTGTACTTTTTGGCCTTTCTAGAGTTGTCACTATGGGTTCATAGTGATCACTCTGGTCTACCTTTCTGGAACAAGCTTGCTGTAGTGTTCACTATGGACTCCAAAGTGATCACTTTCACCTCAAACTTTCTAAAATGCTAAAAATCCATGGAAAAAGTCTAGAAACTCCTGCATAATTATTCAACTGATCAAAATTACAAACTATATCTATGTAAATCAATGTAAATTAACCTAAAATTAAGAAATCTATTATAAATTGACCAAAATGATATTTTTATGTTATTTACAACCCTAAGTTTACTTTTTTCTATTAAGAAACATTAAAATAACAAGTAAAAATCCAATAAAATGTGGATTCATCAGTTACTCAGGTGGATGCTTCTCCTATAGGAGTTTAATATTAATATAAAAGACAGAAGTGGTGTGTTGAATCAGGTTGCTGATCATCTTAGCCATATTAAAAAGACAACAAATCCCTTACCCATTCGTGATCATTTTCCTAATGATTATTTATTTGCTTTGTACTCTATAGGTTTTGTACCTTGGTTTGCAGATATTGTTAATTATTTGGTTACTTCTATTGTACCTTCTTATGTATCTATATCTCAGGTTGATAAGCTTAAAAGTGATGCTAAATATTATGTCTAGGATGATCCATATCTGTGGAAATTTTGTAGTGACCAGGTAATCTGTAGGTGTGTTCCTAACATGAGTTTTAGGATATTCTGCACTTCTGTCATAACACATCTGTAGGAATCTTGGACCATAAAGGATAGCTACGATGGTATTGGACAACAGATTCTGTTGGCCCACCATCTTCAGGGACGCAACCAGATTCTCTGAGAGCTGTTAGATATGTTAGAAAGTAAGAGGGACCATCACTCGGAGGAATGAGATGCCTTAGCAGCCTATCATCTTCTGTGAGATTTTTTATGTTTGGGGTATAGATTTCATGGGCCTTTTTCCTGTTTCTTTTGAATATTCTTATATTTTACTTGCTGTTGATTATGTTTCCAGATAGGTAGAGGCAAAGACCACTAGGACTAATGATTCTATGGTTGTTTTAGATTTTCTTCTAACTAACATATTTTACAGGTTTGGTGTGCCTAAAGTTGTTATAAGTGATTAGGGAAACCACTTTTGTAACAGGACCATAGTACCATTGTTCTAGAAGTATGGGGTGACACACTGAATTGCTACACCATATCATCGCAGACTAATAGGCAAGCTAAGGTATTTAACAGAGAAGTCAAGCATCTGTTGCAAAAGTTGATTCATCCTAACAGGAAAGACTGGAGTAAGTTGTTGGATGACACTTTTTGGGCTCAGAGAATAGCTTACCGGACACCACTAGGCATGTCTCCATTTCGTGTGGTGTTTGGTAAAGCATGCCACCTTCCACTGGAAATTGAGCATAGATCATACTGGGCAGTGAAGAGTTGTAACATGACACTTAAGCAGGCAAAAAAAGAAAGGAAGCTTTCATTTCAGGAGCTTGATAAGTTATGCTTGCAAGCCTATGAGAACTCTAGGATGTATAAAGAAAAAGTAAGAAAATTCCATGATACAAAAATTCTGAGGAAAGAGTTTTTTGTGAGACAGAAAGTGTTATTGTTTAACTCTCGTTTGAAACTGATTGCAGGTAAGCTTTGATCTAGATGGGATGGACCTTTTGTGATTACTAATGTTTTTCCCCATTATGCAGTTGAAATTAAGGATGAAGCCATGGGCAGAGTTTTTAAAGTTAGTAGTCACAAGCTAAAACTATTCCAGGAAAGCAAACCTATAGAGAAGGCTCAGAACATAGATGATGTATCTTTAGTGGAGCCTATTCTGATGGAGGAAGTATTTACATAGGCATTTGGAGCATTTTTTTCTCTCTTACCCTTATTTCTTTTCATTATACTTTCCTTTAGTTTTCCATTCATGTCTTTTCACTTTATTTGAACTATTTTTATGTGTTTTTCATTTTCTATCCATTCCCACATTGCAGACAATGTTTGAATCAAGTATGGGGGGACACTGCCTTAGCATATTTTTCATTGGATTCCTTTGCTTTTAGATTTCATTTGTGTGAGCAATTTTTATTTGTCATTCTCAGTTGAGATTTTCATAACATGATAGATTTGTTTCTTGCATTGGGGTTTAGCTAGTTTTTCATAATAATTATATTTTGAATCAATGATTGGTAGAATAATTACCTTAGTAAGATTTGAGCTTATTATCTTTCTTGTGTGATTCACTCATGTTTGTAAGCATTCTAGAACTTGACTTGACTCTTTTTGAGATTATTTGTTCACATGCACTTTTGATATGATCTAGCCTTCTTTCAAATTTTAACTACTTAGCCAAATTGACTCACCTTGTAGTTATTTCACTTGTTTACCCCTTTGAGCCTTATTAACCCTTTCTTGATGATTTTGCAGCTCATTACAAGCCATGTGACCTGAAAAATGATGATTCACCCAACCTTGGAGATTATATGAGCTTTGGAATTGTTTTGGGAGTTGGTTCAAAAAGATAAGTGTGGGGTATTGTGTTATATTGTGTTTTGTTTGGAAATTTGATGGATTATTAGTCACTGGAACAATAGTTTAAAAAAAAAACAAACAAAGGCAAACAAACAAATAAACAAACAGACAATAAATAAATAAATAAAAATGAAAAAAATAAAACCAAAATTTTTATACTACATTTAAAAAAAAAAATAGAAAACTCTTTGTAAAAGAGAAATCAAACATACCTTTAGTGTTGAATTTTAGATATCCTTTTACTTGTTTTTAATTCATTCCCCATTGCTCTTCTTTTTCTTGGTTTTTAGCCCTGTCTACTTTCTTTTATCCTACCTTTTCTCTAGCCTTATATAAAAGTCCTATTGATCTTTTGATGCATGTGTTTCAAATAGTGAAAATTAGAGGCTTTTCAAGCCTATGGTTGTGCTTACTTTCATAATGTGCTTTGCGTTAAAATGTTGACCTATACACTTGAGAGAATGAGTGATACACATATCCTTGAGAGAATTTTTGCCAATTGTGATCCATGATTTAGCTAGATTGAAATTCTTCTTTACTTTTATGTTTGGAACATATCCTTGATTGTTTTTTATTCTTTCATACTTTGATTGATGAATTCAGTTTCTTTCTTGCTCACATCACTTTCACTTTAGAATCCAGTGAAAAATTTTGCTTTGTTTGGTTTTGTATTGTTGTCTTTTCCTTTCTTTTACTTGGGAGTGCAAAAGTTTAAGTGTGGGGGTATTTGATGATTCATATCTTGTACTCACATTTATAGCCTTATTGCTTCTTCCAAAATATCTTTGATTCTTTATTTACTTCATTTAGCATGTTTTTTCATTTTTTGCATTAAATTGGGATTTTCATGAATACTTGTTATCTTTACTTTATATTTCATATTTTTGCTATTCTGACTTTTGTCAACTATTTCGGCCATAACTTTTTCTGTAGATCTTCTTTTTAGCTAATTCTTTTTGCAATAGATTTCTGACTTCATGAGCTTCAATTTGAACATAAGGATCATGCTATTTAGAGTTTGGAGCTATTTTCTGTTAATTTTTGAAGTTCAGACTTAAAAAATACCTTTTATATTTAGGGTTTTTACTTAGGGGTTTTATTTTAATTACTTGTAGAAGCCTTGACCCATTTATTTCTATTTGCATTTAAGACCAGTATATATAGGGGTCAAAAGGTTGATTTTGAACCTCACCTCTCCTCCTTTCCCTTTTCATAATTTTGTTTTCATAATCTCATTTTTTCTGTAAAGACCTTTTCCCACTTTTGAGACAAAATCTTTTTCGTTTTATTCACTTGTCTCTTTTTGGATTCTATTATATTCTCAATTATTATTTTCTCATGAATCATCTCATCACAAGCGTGGGTTGCAAGATCGATTGATTACTTCGAGTTTGTCTTTTTTACTTTTTCATAATTCTTGATTAAGATTGGTGCATGCATAATTCGATTGAATTTGGTTTTATTCTTGAGTGTAATATTGATCGATTGATTGCTTTTACATTTGAGATTTAGGCAAATTCGGTATAGTAATCCTAGTTTGCGTCTATGATTCGTGATTTCAATTTGTGGTTTTAATTCTCATTTTTGTTTTCAAATTTGTTCTGTGTTTCATTTTCATTTTTGTTTTTGTTTTTGTTTTCCAATTTGTTTTGTTTTCAATTTGTTTTTCTGGGTTAAATTAAATTCATTTTTGTTTTTAAATTCATTTTTTTGTTTTTAGATTCATTTTCAAATTTTAAATTCATTTTCAATTTTTAGATAGTTTTTCAAATTTTAAATTCGTTTTCAGTTTTTAGATCTGTTTTCAAATTTTAAATTTGTTTTCAGTCTTGGATCTGCTTTCATTTAAATTGTTTTCATTTTAAATTACTTTCATTTTTAATTTATCTTTAAATCGCAAAATCCCCCAAATTAACCACCATTGCAATTTTAAAATTGAAGATAGAATGAATTTGTATCCGTGTGAGATGACCTTAGTTTTTGTTCTCTATATTGCAAAATTAATTGAAAAATCTAGTTTTATTTGACATCATTGCAACGTGGATGTCAACGTATTTAAAGGTGACAAAATATACACCATCAAGTTGATAAAATTGCCTAATCAATCTTAATGCATTTTTGAAATAACCGACTATTGCATTTCTATTTTCATAAAATGTGACATTAATAACATTCCCCAAAGGATATATCAAGTGAAAACCTTTTTTCCACAATATCAGAACGCCATTTTCTATAAAAGCCAGGGTTGATGGTTATATCATTCTACAACAATATAGAACAATAGTATATATAACATTTGTCTACAAAATGAAACAAAAAAGAAAACCAATAACGCCAATTTCATCCACCAATAAATAAAATTCCATTGTCGTTTTTAGTGAAGGGATAACTACCTCCAATACGATGACAAAATTCATAGCGAAGCATAAACTGTTAATGAAGAGGTTTAGTATTTTATATAAATTGTAATGCATAATGTCACGACCCCTTTTTATAAGGAATCGAGAACATTATTTCTACACTACTTACTTATTTAAAATAGATAAATAATGGAGAATATAAGTGTAAAATTCACTTCTCATTCAAAATAAAACAAAGTTCCTTATAATAAATATCTAATAGAACAATATAATATTACATTTAGTTTATAATACTCAAAATACATAAAATTATACTACATAGCTTCCTCTATATGAGGTCTTAAAATATAAGGAAAAAGGACTTTAATGTAAAATTACTCGACTCCAGCTTCTAACATTTCTCCACTGACCTTTTAGTCTGTGAAGTAGATGTAACACCTGCTATATCTGCTCATGTACCACTGTACGATCATTGCAGTACACACACACAACAACATAGATAGAAATGCAAAGGTGAGCTTACAAAAATAAAATAAAATCATATATATATAAAGCAAAATATTACTCACAGCAGCAGCCCCACGCATTCCCAGCCCATCTAATGCCCAACATGAAAATGGTTTCTAACTGGTTTCATAGCCAAAGTAATCCAAAAGGAACTATGCCAGTCTGAGAGCGACTCATTCCAATATCTGGATCTAGACAACACGACACAACACAACTCAACATGCTTTATCATTACATGTTTACCCACCTAAATGTGTAACTTGGCTATATAATGATGTAAGACATATATCTCAGCATGATGCAGCACGGGTAAAATCATTTCAACAGCTCAACTTAGACAAGTTTAAAATAAATCAGCCAAATCTCAGTGTTATTAAATCAATTATCAGCAGTTACAACATAGAAAAACAACTTTCAAGTATTAAATCTTTTATATCTCAGCTTTTATCAAAGAAATCTAACAAAACCATCTCAAACATTTCTTTAATAGTATATCAAATCGTTTAAAACATAGTTCATAGGCTAAAGTAAGCTCCCCTTAACTTAGAACGGTGATTTACACTAGATCTACCGAATATTACTTGTTTTTAACGCAAGATTCACTAAAGATTTGACTTTAGAATGGAGTCTCTGATAGACGATTGCCAAGTCGCTATCAAAACAACTAAGTTTTCTAAAGATTTTGTAGTATAGAGCCAAACCTAAGTCGATTCACGGAGACACATTTTCAGTCAAATTCAATTTTAGGTTTTCATTTAAAAAATGAAAATAAGAATTTTGGGGTTTTGAAAATTGTAATTAATCAAATTAAATTATGAACAGAATTAAAGTGAGTAAAAAAATGAATTAAGAAATATCAATCCATAGAATACCAATTGCGTGTAACTCTGACTATCATAGTATCTAAAGATTTAAATCCACGTTTGAACAACCACCTAATTCAATTATTAATTCAATCAAATAACCTAATTGAATAGAGTTACGAATTAAATCAAATAACCATTTAACCTAATTCGCATTAATTATCAAATTAAAGCATCAATCGAGTCCTAATTTGAAATCTAACCATAGAAAAGTCAATCACGATCGCAATAAACAATTCTAAGATTAGAGAGAAAAAAAGAACAAACTCGGAGCAATTAGCACAAAACTCAAGTCAGAACTACAACGTTTGGATTCCGCGGATTGAACGAGAGGTTTAGCCTTCCATTGAAACGCTTAACCCACACAAGAATGAGAAAAGAATGAGAGAGTTCGAGAGAGTAAAAATAAGGATTCTTATTTTGGCCTAGTCTCAAAAGCTCAAAGTGTCTAATCGCATGCGCAAACGCTCACACCCTAATTCAGAATCTCATTAGTTTATTTATAGGTTCTGATTAGGGTAAACTAATTGGCCAAAATTCGGGCCTAAATAATAACTAAAAGCTCAAATGCAATTATTAAATAATAAGAGTCCAAA